CGCTGGTGGGGTGGGGTGAGAGGCAGAAACGGCCTTGACTCTGTGTCAGCACTGCTCAGCAGTAACGAAAACATCCGTGTGTTACCAACACTGTTCTCAGCACAAATCTGAAACACAGCCCCACACTAGCTACTGTGAAGAAAATTAACTCTATCCCCGCCAAAACCAGCACACCTGTTCTCAAATATGTTTCATATAACAAGTAATACCACCTGCCTCTTAAGTTATGTAGTTCTTCTCTATCAGAGTATCCCTTTACAGTTTATCAGAATATTAAAAGTTGTATTTTAAAGCAGTTTTCTGGCCTATAGTAATTTGACTTGCTGTAAAAAGCATTGAAATAATTCTTGTGGAGTTAAATCCTGCTACTTCTAAAATTAATTTAAAAGAAAATGAGGTAAAAATTCTCCCAGTGACTTCAAAGGTTCAGGATCATATCTGTATTCCCACTTCCATGTGTGTCTTTTCTTGTCCTATTTTTGCTTCTGGATCTAAAGCAGTGATCCTCAGTAGCTCAGTCTTGTGAAACCTCCCCTTGAACTGGCAAGTCAGTTTTGCTTAAGATGCTTACTAGGCAGTGCTTCATCTTGCACTTGCAGCACACGGAAGATGGTTTAAAATTAAAAGTGGATTTTTCAGATCTCAGCATATTCGACTGCACAAACAATAGTAACCACTACTTTTACCTCTTGCTGCTGGTCAATCCTCAATAATGCTCTGTTTCTGTGTATTAAAACATCTATTTAATGAAATGAGTTTTTTCTATGTAAGAATTTCTTTTGTTTAGTCATTGCTTTTAATTATACTTTCTGTTATGTACACTGATTCTAGCTTTTTATTACAAAGAATGAGAAGGGGAAGTGAGAGCTTCATTGATTCCCAGTACAGTATATTATGTAATAGAAAACGCTGAAAGCTACAGTAGTAGCTGGAAATTACCAATGGCACCAAGTAAAAGCTTGAAGTTTACAAAAACGTAACAGGGAAGAAGTTTTAATTGCAAATCAATCAATAAAATAAAATGGTATCAAATTTCATTAGCTTCCTTTCTGCCTTTTTAAAGTTAAAATGCTGCAACATTAATAAACCCTTGAACTGAATAACAGATTTCTGGAACAGCAAAGGTGAATGTTACTTTATACGTTACTCACTTCATAAAGCTGAAAATATTTTCAGATAGTGGAACTTTTAAAACTAAAATAATTATTTTACATCTAGAAAGCATTTAAGCAATTTCACGGATTTCTTTCATCTGCATCTTCCCTCCAGGGCTGTGTTATCCTTGTGTTTGTTGTTTGTTATCCTCTCACCTAAATGATTTATTTTTTTCCCCACAACAGCTTGCTATGTCATACTTTGGGTTTTCATTATTAAAATAATATCTTGAATACTCTGGTTGTGCTTGGCAAGGCCCACACTTTTAAGGCTGTGAGGTATGTTCTTGTAGTGAATGTTCTTGTAGTTGAGAAGTGTAAAATATTTCAGAAAAGTCTATGCCTGCTTATATGCAGACATCAGACTTAGGTCCACTGTCAAATATCAGAAGTACCTCTTAAATTATGCTGAAGCTTAAAGTACTGGATTCAATCAATGTCTTACAGTATTGAGGACAGGTTATCATAACCCATCCATTTAGAAATTACAGTAATAAAAGTTTATTTCCCCCCCCCTCTTTTTTTTTTAATTTCTGATCCACCCTTATTCCCTATTTTCTCTGGTAAACGGTTGGAAAAAAAGTTCTTTGACAATGCAATTGCCAAATCATTATTATTATTAATAAAGTTACAATAGTAAGTGGCTTATGTTATCGTAACTGAAGCTAGTTTTGCGAGGTCATGTGAAAATCCATGTGAATGTACAATCCAGCACAAACATTTCCAAGGGCTCTGACACCTTCATTTAACCCACAGATGCGTATTATTGATTAAGGCTGCTACTGTATCAAAATCGTTTGTTCTACAGCCTTCTACGGCACTTGCAGTAGAGCCCGTAGAAGCGGACACACGTGCACGTCTCGGGCACTTCAGTGGACCTGAAAGAGGGTGCAGTTCAAAGTCTGGACTTTGCATCAAAACAGTTGAAACGTTCACACACTCCTATTCTGCGGACTTTGGGGAGTAAGAGCTGGCATACAGACAGATGTCAGCGGTGCCGCCTTTAACTGCTACAGTCTGATTCATTGGTACTCTGCTGGCAACATCTGAAGAATCAATTGCTCTTTCGGTAGCCTTTAACAATTTCTGTATCTGTGGTGCTGGCCTTTTGCCAAAATAATGCCTTTTAATTGTTTTTTTTTTCCTAACTTCCTCTTTTCTGCTGCTTATTCTATGTTTCTGTTCTTCAGCTTTTCAACTTAAGACTCCTCATATGAGCAGTATCTGGTGTTATAATTTACAGAGTACCACTTTAACAATAATGGAACTGCATCTTAAAACTACGAGTGCTCTCTATTTTAGCCAAGCTAGGAGGCTTGAGTGGCCCTCTGTCAATGCAGAACACTTTGCCAGTTTGCATGGGAACAGAAGCGAATTTTTTTTTTTCCAGCTCCTAGCTTTACTTCAGGGCACTTGATATACTTGCAGTTTCCATTGTGATATAACCTCTTTAATGTTTGGATACCATATTTATTTGCCACAGTAACGTCTCAAATGGAAAAGAAAATAAAACTGAGAAATCTATCGTAAAAGCTGTCGTGAACGTAGATCATTGAAAGGCAGCATTTGCACAAAACAATTTTGGTGGTTTAAATCTTTCTCATGTGTCCCATGAGCTTTCCACCTCATTTCATCAAGCTTCCTGTTTGTACCACAGTAAATCAAAATTTGCTTAGGGTAAATGTCTAAGGAAAAATTCTCTATCTTTAGATAGAGAAGTTAATATGGTTACAGGTCTTAGGCTTATATTTAATAAGCATAGCCATATGGATTCAACCCAGGTAATGGATGGGCTCTGAGCTCTGTCTTCCTTCTGTTAGAGTTCACGTCTCTGACAACTGGAGAGCTGCCAGGAAAACCACTTGCAGCATTGCATAGCACGGTTCAGGAGGGAACTCAATATCAAACCTCCTTGTACGTATTATAGACACGTACCTGGCTACTAGACTAGTTAAGGCATTTCTAGAGTCAGGATGGTTGTATAAACATTTTTAGTATGTATTGTGTGAGAATATTTCAGTTTTGTTTGTTTCTCTAATAAAAAAACCTACTATCACAATCCTAGGAAAACTGAAATTGAACTGACTTTCACATCGACGTAACGCACTGGATATGAGGATGAGAGGAAGTGATCACTAAACTTCCTCTCACCATCATCATCTCTGTATATAGATTTCAGTTGTATCAATAGAGACAGGCTTTTAAGTATTAGATGAGAAGCTTTGATTTGGCCTTTAAAGACATTTTTTCCTCTTTTACTTTAGATTTGGTGTTAAAAAGAAACCAATTTACATAAATGTCATAAGAGATCCTATAGAACGACTAGTTTCTTATTATTACTTTCTGCGCTTTGGAGATGATTACAGACCAGGGCTACGGAGGCGAAAACAGGGGGATAAAAAGGTAAAGTGCACTTTATTATATATGTTGTTCTTACTAAAGTTAATGTGAAAACAATTTTAAAAATGTCTTGCTAAAAGCTGAATAGTTCTTTTATCAGCCTTGGTGATGATGGTGGCTTTGTAAGTTATATTCTCCCCGACGTGTCTGTACTGGACCAGAGTGTAACATTAAGTATGTTCTCTGTAACCTTATAAATTTACTTGACGTTGCAATTTGTTAAAAAAAATTAAATGAAAAAATGTTTTCAGGTATCCAGAGTTGTAAGTATCAAGTTAAGCATATCCTCCTGTGTAAGATATCTACATCTCTTCTTGTTGAAGACTGAGATACACGTTTTTTACCGAAAGCTGTTGAACTGCTGATGCTTTGGCTTTGATGGTTTTTTTTTTTATAATTAGCAACCCAATTTACTTTTTTTTTTTAATGTAAGTTTTGCAATGGAATTATATAAAGACTCTGCTTGAAAACTATGGAGTATGATCATACATTTCTATATTTCCTCCATCTGTCTTAGGTGGCTACAGGAGTAGTTCAGGTTACCATATTCAAACATTGATTACTAAAACAGTTTCAGAATGGCAACAACATTTAGGCTCCATAATATATTTATTCCAGAAAGAATTTATACATCCACTGTCAAGTTTTGCAGTAAGACATTTGTTGGAGCATGTTGCTTTGGACTTTTCTTAAATGAGGAAGAAAAGTAGGGTATTAAGTATATGAATATAGCTTATAAAACTATAGTTAGAACAGTGTTGAAGCTTTTATAAAATGTAAGGGGGGTTTGTACTTTACATAGCCAAACACTTTTTAAAATTTCAGTGGCGATATTTTCTTAAACTGATGAAATTTTTCTGTAATGTTGACAATTTAGTGTAGCACTGTGGGAATACCAAGAGACATGGAAAAAATAGCGAAGCAAAAATCACACTGAATACAGCTTAGTCTATAAACACCATAACAACTAATAAATGTGACTAACCATTTTGTGTGCTCCCCCCATCCAAATAGTGTTTTTTAAATATTGGGAACAGACCATTCCTCTTTTCTCTCCAGTTGATAACTAACTGCTCCTCTGTCATTTAGGTTTTGGCGCCATCTTCTGCCACTGCATTTCAGTTTATCCAAACATCCTACAGCATAGGTAGAGGAAAGCTTCAAGCAGAACAAATTAAAATTAAGCTTAAAAAATGTATCTTCACAGAACTGGGTACAGAGATGATTTGGTGATATGGTATCATAAAGGCATTTTTAAAAAAGAGATAGGATCTCATCTTTTGTAACCTACCCTGTTCCTTTTCATGAGGAGGATGATTTGGCTATGGAATTCCTTCCTGGTGGAGATCAATGAGTTGGAAAGCTGAGCATGCTATGAAGTCCAACCTGTTTATAGAACTTAATACTTACTAAAAAGAGTGACATTTAATAGTGTTGTTTTAGTTTTGAATTATAATCGGAACAGCCTTGTTAGGTAGTCACTGGGAAACATGAAGCCAACATCCCTAATGCTACTGCTTGGTAGACTGCACTGTAAGCTCTGATTTGCTGGAAGAGGTTGAAATGCATTCCTATTTATAATGTTTGTAATGTATTGCATTAATAATTTTACGTTTTTCTATTAAAGATGCTTTATTTCCTTTTGTCACTATCATACCACTTTATTTAGGTCTGAGATTTAGTAGTTGCCATACAGATTTAACTTGTCCTGTAAGCATCTCTAGTTCATTTCATAGAATCATAGAATCATTAAGGGTTGGAAAAGACCTCTAAGATCATCGAGTCCAACCGTCAACCCAACACCACCACCCACTAAACCATGTCCCTAAGCGCCTTATCTACACATCTTTTAAATTCTTCCAGGGATGGGGACTCAACCACTTCCCTGGGCATTTCACTCCATTTGAAGTGAAAATTATTTGCTATGCCAAGTTTTAGGGTTTCTTTCATTTAAATCAGGTAATACTATTTTTCCATGGTGTTCCCAAGAAAACTGTACATATATAGATGGTGTCAGTTTTACATACATTAGATATAAAATTCAGTAAGCTCAACAACGGATTGACCCAATCGCAGTGTCTATAACACTGGTATCTATTCTAATCTGTGTTATTGTAGATTCACTAAGAGCTGTTCAAATGAAAAGTAGGGAGGGTCAAAAATGCAATCTTTCTAATGGAAGTCAATTGTTCCTTTATTAAGTGGAAAGTAATCTCAACGTACTTTACACCCTCGCCCGCTCCCAGTCCATACCACAGCATTTATATGGAAAGAGTTCTTCATTCATTTTCTTTCTATATCCCTGTGCTTCCAAAGTCACAGATAGCTTGGCTCCAGAAACAGTCTGTAAAGACAAGTGTTTCTTATAATAAAATCTCTGGATGGAGTAGTCAGGGTACGTATGTAAGAGGAAGTGGGGAAGGAGGCCTGTCCTATTTCGTCTTACTTAGAAAATTACTTGCTTGCCTTTGCGTATTAACTATAAAATAACCTGCAGATATAAGCAAAGAAGTCTTTCTTTTGACAGATGCCAGTTCATATTTAGTATATACATTCATAAGTTAGGAGGTGCGTTTAAGCAATTTAGTTCTTAGGTAATGCTGATGTTATAAAGTACTCATGATAGATCAGTGCAGAATTCCTCTAGAGAACTATGCTGGAGAGAGCATACCAATGTCTTGTTTTCCTAGTTAAGCTGAATCTTTATCTGTAATATGTGACATGTACAAGCTATTCCAAACTCAAAGTGCAATGTGGACCAAGACACCACAGGTTAATCCCTGCTTTGGCCTGGCATCAGTAAGTTTTTCAGATTGTCTCAGGAACTTCACCTCAAAATAGAAGCAAAGGACGTTGTCCTTGTTCTAACACCGAATAATTAAGCAAATGTATTTTTACATAGTTGTTTTGAACAGAAACTTGTAATTATACAGAAGAAACAGTCTAAAAAGTTGTCTATATGATCACTTATTTGTCATTAAATAATTTTTTAAAAATCTATCCTAGATACCTGGCTTATATCTTGATTCGAAATATAAATACTTACTTTATGGCGACTGGGTAAAATATTTACAAATTCTTTCCAATGCTAATGGAGTTCTTATTGTAACTGTGTTACTGCAGTTGAAATTCTGTGTTGCTACAGCTGTCTATCCATGTAGAGGGATGTTGCATGGAATATTCTGTTATGCAGTGAACAACTTGCTTTCACTTCTGATGGCCAAAAACAAATTGGCCTCTGAAATTGCAGTTATTTGTCATAATGTTTAAAATATAATAGAACGTTTTTTAATCTAAAGCACAAAATGCACAGTGTTCTATGGTATAAAGATCCAGCTGCTCCAGTATCACACAGATCCTGATGGCATTGACGCTGTATCTTTAGTGACTTCTTTTGTAAAGGAAAAATAATGATACCAACACTTATTGACTGGTTTTGCTTGTTTTGACATACAGCCTTTATAAAGGTTATATCAAAGGTATATCAAATGTATCAGGTAAGATCAAATTGTTCATTAGTTCTAATCATAAAAAACTGTCCAAATACTATTTTAATTGAGACAAATAGGTCCTCCTAATAACACTGTGAAAGCAAGACTTGAAAAAATTGCTTTCTTTTTTTTTTCTTTCACATGGTATCCTGTGTTTTTCTGTCCCCACTACATTTAGCAACTAACCAGGTTGAGATGTTTGATACATATGCTAGAGTTTAAAGCTCAGCTCAGTTTTGTCTTTGTTCCAGACCTTTGATGAATGTGTGGCAGCTGGAGGTTCAGACTGTGCTCCAGAGAAACTTTGGCTTCAAATTCCATTCTTCTGTGGCCACAGCTCCGAATGCTGGTAGGGAGATAAATGTAGCTTAAGTTGTTAGTCAAGTATATCAGCACTGAAATCTAAACTTAACAAATTTGAATATGTAGCACAGTTGGGGAAAGTGTGAGGGACGGGACAGAATGAAGCAGCAGGGACTTTAGTAATGTATTTTCTTTTGAAGATGCATTTTAGTGAAACAGTCTTGCAGTTCTGTAAACAAGCAATATGTTAGGATACAGTATCAGCAGTGCTATGAGGGAAGACGGATGTTTTCAATTTTAAAAATAATTTTTGAAAATTTGGAGTCTTGACATTTTTTTCTTATGTCAGGCTACAATATCTGTCTTTCTGAATGAAGATATTGTATTCAAGCCTCTAGAGTTTCTGGGGAGAATTAAATAATTGAGATCAGGAGAAATTTATCTTCTTGAACCTTTACCAAACATCCAGTAGTCAATGCTACTTAGTAGAAACCGAAACAAAAGCAAATAGTGTCCATCTGTCAGTGCAGCATGTTTTCTAACAATGGCACAGACTTTAAAAAACTCTTTAGCAAACTAAAAAAAAAAAAAAAAAAAAAAGAAAAAGGACATAGATGATTTGAAGGATTCTGAGTGAAATCAAGAGCAATTATTTGTCAAAGGTACTGTTCATCCAAACATAAGCAAAGTAAATGGCCACTTGGGAGCTCCTCTTTCAGTGCCTGTTGGTCAGACCTATCTACACCTGGGCCAGGGGGAGCAGCAGAGAAAGAAAGAACTCTGAGCCTATCTTTTCACCCTGTCTGGAGCTATAAAAAGGAGGAAAAAATGTCGGTTTAATTTCTGTCTGTGGTTCAGTAGGGAAGTCCTCCCATTAAGTGCAATGACTTTCTAGTTCAGAATTATGCTTGTAGGATGCAAAAGGGAAGGTGTGTTCTTACCACAACCATTTGTGGTTTCTAATGTGAAAGTGGAGACTGAGTATTGACATTGAGAAAATGTAAATCCTCCAAAAATTGCATTAATAGAGACAGTAACCATATACACACATGGGTTTTTTTGTGGATGAGTTATTAGTCAAAATAACTAGAGTCAATTTTTTAGATAAGAACGCAGATGAGAGAAACTGGAAAGGGAAATGAAGTTAGGAATGGTTATAACTTGAAATGGGTCTTGCCTTTCCTACACTAATGTCCTGTTATGAACTAATCTCCATCTAGGGACCAAGGATTGTTGGCTGACATCAGAACTTGCTGTAATTGTTCTCTGTCATTTTAGGAATGTGGGAAGCAGATGGGCTTTGGAACAAGCCAAATACAATCTGATTAATGAATACTTCCTAGTGGGAGTTACTGAAGAGCTTGAAGACTTTATCATGTTATTGGAGGCAGCTTTGCCCCGGTTCTTCAGGGGTGCTACAGAACTGTACCGGACAGGTATTTAAATGGTTGATTTCCATGGATTCCGCGGATTTTTCATCCTCTTATCACTTTTTTTAATGTGAATTCTTTAGACTTAGATGAATAGTTTTGAGTCTTTGCCAGGTTTGCCTCTCAGTTGTCTGATGTTCCTACAGAAGAGACAAACTCTTTAAAAGACTCTCAGTACAAATTTTTGAGGGCAGCCCAAGTATCTTCCTGCCTTACGCAAATTGTAAGTATTTAAGGTTGGGGTAAAGGCAGTTGTGTAGGTATACCACACTTAAAAAATTGTGCCATGTGTTTATCAGAACAGTGTGGAAAGGTCTCGCAGGGGCTTCAGTTTTGTAAAATGGCTGGTAGTGGCAGATTTCCATTTCCTCAGAAGCCCTGCTGAAATTAACTGTGCTTGATGCAACCTGGTTGGCTGTGCAAAAAGGCCCAAGGGATACAAAGGCCCAAGTACATGTTTATCTTCCTGGGGTTGTAATAAGACATTTGTTATATAGCTAGTAGCTCATTTTCTAGGAGCTGGCCATGCAACTTATGATGAAGAAAAGGTCCATCTTAGCAGGGCTTCTGTCTGCAAATAGAGGGAGAAAAGGGTCTGATGTATAGAGCCTAGATGTGTAGTATTAACAAGTTTATTATAAAGCAACAGATAGCACTTCTTAGGGAAAATGCTGTCGTCATTTTGGTCATCGTTGTCTCACGAAAGAAATCTCTTTCTTTGCAGTTTGTAAAATTCTTAACATTTGATACCAGATTAACATCTAAATAATTAATTTTGAAAGACCAATCTTGCTCCAAGTACATTATGTAGAGTAATCGTGTTCCTTAAATGAAGTGTTCATTCCCTGGGTTTATTAGACTAAGGAGAAAGAATTGAAAGTACTGATGCAAAATTCATTAACATTTAGTGAGAGAGACTGCAATTTTCCTACCCGGCAAGTTATGTTAATAAATTCTGGATTAAATTCTGACACTTCTAATGCAGTTTATCAGCATGCTGAGAGTATAAAACTCTGTAAATAAAAGGACTGTAAACATTTTTTAATCACGTGAACTTTAAAGTGAAGTTATTGCTTTCATTTTGCATTTAGGAAAGAAGTCTCATCTTAGGAAAACAACTGAGAAAAAACTTCCCACAAAAGAAACTATTGCCAAGCTACAACAGTCTGAAATCTGGAAAATGGAGAATGAGTTCTATGAATTTGCACTGGAGCAATTTCAGTTTGTCAGAGCACATGCAGTTCGGGAAAAAGATGGAGAATTGTATATTCTGGCTCAAAACTTTTTCTATGAAAAGATTTACCCTAAATCAAACTAAGAACACTATACTGTTAGATTTATGGACCTAAATCTTTGGTCACATCGTCATCTTAGTCCTCAGCCATGGAAACTAGATTGCTTGTAGACCTCCAAGACGTTTCCTTATAGATCTGAGAAAAGTGGGCTGTGGATCACCTCCAGGGCATTGGATACCGGCTAATTATGTTGGTAATCCAGAAGGAAAGGCTTCATTTCTTTTATCTAACTAATACTTTCAGTGGGAGATAATATCCTTTACCTGAAGAAATCTACACTTTAATTCGGAGCAATTAATACACAGCAGTTCTAGTTGAAAATATAAACAAACAAAAAATGCTTCTGTTGATGCTCTTTTTAATTTTCAGAGCAATTTATTTTCATTTATACTTCTGTGAAGAAGAAATCATTTTTCCCAGCTTTCAACATGGAAATTTTGGTTGTATACAATATGAGTAGTGTTAATAACTGGTTGACATCTGTGCTTTGTTTTTCTGAATCATGTCACATGATATTAATTGGGATGGTTAATCATGTTCTGCTGAGAAATGCTGCTGCTGCTGAAATTGCCCATATTTATATATGTGGTTTTATTAAAAAATTACAACTAATCATTAGTATTAAAACATCATTTCCACGTTAATACTGTAAAAAGTTAAAGAATCAGAGCAGTGGGGTTCTTGTTTTGTTTTTTATCCCCACCGCCACTGGCTGAGGTTGGGAAAACTACAAAGAAAGTTGGTATTGTCTGCAGTTCTAGTTGATCCTTACACAGTGGTATAAAAATCGTAAATTCACTATTAAGTTTCTCCATGGATTCTTTGTAATAATTGTAAACTGAGGTATTGGTGAATCCATATTATGACTCCATTAGTGAGCTGTGGTATGGTTAGGGTTTTCCTACTACTTCGATACTTTTACCTGTAGAATATTTTTACTAAGGTGCTTTATAACGTGTTTTAAAGCATTGCATTTACAAAAGGAGTAAAATGCTGTAAATACTGCTTATTTTATGTATTTGGACCAAAAGGTTTAAAGTAACTAGTTTAAAGTGGGGTTTTTGCACCAGTTCTGTTATGTGTGAAGTGAAAAACATCACATCTGCTTCCTGGTTGAGTTAACTGTTGGACATTGCTGAAATGCACTTCAGTGACCTCTCTGACTTCAATACCAGAATGTTGTCCAGGGATTCTCTTTACAGAAATGTAGTCTTCATCCTTTTATTATGGTAAGAGGAAAAGAAGAAAAATGTCACGTGTAGTCCGGTTGAGAAAGATGCAGTGAACTTGATTGACATAATTGTATTTCTGTAACTGCCTTATGTGACTATTGTAAATTTGTGAGTTGCCATTATTAACCATGTGAAACACCTGGTAGATGAAGTAAATTGAAATTTGAGAACAGATGTTTGGGGCCACTGCGTTATAGCAAATGGCAGTGGAGAACTACAAGAATTTGTTTCCTATTGAATTTTCCTAAAGATCTGAGTATTTACACGTCTTACACCTGCCTTTTCTTAAAGTGCTTTTCACAGGCTTTAATGGGGGAAGGCACCGAGGAGACAAAGTAAGGAATGGTGGTAAAGGTTTAAATTCCTAAGGGGTGATGCTGAAAGCTTAGTTTAAAATTACCAAGTGGGGTTTCTTTAACCAGCTTGTTCTTGTAATGAAAACAAAGGAAATGGAAAATGGTCTGTGAACTGGGTGTCTGCAGCCAAAAGCAACAGCCCAATTACAGAGAGGATGATGAGAGACTATCGAGTACATCTTGCATTTTCTTTGTTTTCTTGGATTTTTCCCTTTGAATGTTAAAAATAGATCTCTCTCTGTTCTTCCCAAATAATCAGGGAAGTTCCCTCTGATAGCTTACCATTTATATAGCATGAACCATGCATAAGATTTCCTGTTCTAGTTCTTGGCTATTGACGTCATTAATAATGCCAGCATGTTTGGGAATAGGATGTGTTAGTTCACACATGAAGACATGTTTCCTAGCTAAAGAAAGGAACTGAGGAGTCGCACACAAGAAGTAGCTAATGGAGATCTAAAAATTTCCATAACAAAGCAGTAACTTTTTTGAAAGAAAATGAATACTTAGAATCCCAGGAAAGATTATCCACTCAATGATAGTTTTATGTTAGATATTTTTTTGACTGTGTTGTTTTCCTTAGAATAATTCGGATCAGTTTACCTTCTTGAGTCTCCTTCAGAATTTTCAGAAGAGCACCTCTAAGAGAGCAGGAGAGTTTACTGAGTGAAAACATAAAATATCGATCGAAGTAATGAAATAGGTGTGTAGACAAATGCTTCTGTATTGACAAGAAAAAAATAGGCAAAACTTCTACTGATTCCAGTAGGGTCTACAAAAAACTCTTCTATTCTGTAAGCAATTTTAGAAGTTTCTTTTTTTTCCTTCCAGGATTTAGAATTCCTTAATTATGAGTCTTCAGTAACAAAAATAATAGAACAATGCAATTCCTTTTACTTTTAAAGAGCAATATATTTTTCATAGTTCATATAAGAAAACACATTTTATTTAATCAGATATCACTTCCTGTTCTTTGCTGTGAACTGACAGGGTTGAGACAAACAAGAATTTTAGGAATATTTTTTAAAAATGCTAGCTACAATTGGAGAGGTATTCATTCCAGACGTACTCTGAAAATGTTATTGTCTGTGGAACACAGAAGGAATCAAGGCTCTCTACTTTTATATCTAGCGCAACCATTAAGTCAACTGTGAACTTTTTAGAATCCTTTGAATTCAGAACTATCAAACTTGGATTTGCTAAAAGACAGTTTAGGAAAAGGAGCTTTACGGATTTTTAATAAACTGCTCTTTTCATCTTCTATTCAGAAATGGAAACAATCCAAATTGTTGGTATTAAAAATATTTTACAGTATGTAAACAGAATGTATCTTGTGTATTTTCCCTTAATGACTTATAGTGAAAAGCAGCAATACGTGGATTTTTATTGTTGCAGGTTGTATGATCAGTAAACTTACTATGCAGCCTCCTGAACATGGATCTTTTAACTGAAGTCACTGTAGTCTCTGCACAGGAGCGAGATTGGCTTTTTGCAGCGCTAAGTTTGTTTGAAAGGTGCTGAAATGCTCATATATATATATATATATATATTTGAGAGTAGGTTTTGTTACGCTGTTCTGTACTTTTTGTACAAAATTAATGCCCTGATTTTGCGCAAAACTGTAGCCCTGTTGAAACTCTTGATGTCAGCGTAATGGCGCTAGGTCCAGCTGCGCTGGTAACTACATAACCATAACCACAGCATGTCTGGAGCACTTGGGATACACTGGGCAGCGTCGACAGGAGAGCAACAGTGGTTTTAGCTCCTTCCCGTAATAATTCTGCAGCCATGCAACAAGAATTCCACTCTTACTTTGTTAGTGCATCTATAAGCAGACACAAGGCTAGGGTGCAGAATGTCCTACGTGCATATTCCCACTTGCTCTGGGTTGATTTTCAAGCAGCCTGTCTATTAATGGTACGCTGAGCATGGCTTCATTTTCGAACAGGCATGAAAATTTATAGCTATACAATACGGGAGAGGAAGAAGCAGCCCATCCTGGTCATTTGAAATGCCTTTTCTGGGTACTTAGTTTTTCTGAAGATACTTAGCTATTTTTACTTTCCAGGAATAAACATTTGCTTATTTATGGTCTCAGAGCAGTTCTATTTTATATCAGGGAAAATTCAGTTATTTTCTGTTACAATTCTGTGAAACTTTTCCATTAAGCTTACCTGGCGTTGCTAAACGTGTGTATGACAAAAGGTATATGGATGACGCTGTCTGAACTGTGCTGCTTAAGCAGTCGGTGGAAAAGCCTGATTCAAGTGCACTGCCAATTTAGCTCTTCAAAATTGGAGCATATTTTATGACTACTAGAGATTAAGCTTAAGGAAACTGTAAGGCTGCTTAGTTGCACGGATGCTTCCTTTACTGTAAGCCTGTGCAACTCCGTAACCTTTGCAGCAGTATTTATAGAAAGAGCCCTCTTCCCGAGACTTTTCTGGAGCATAATTATAAATGTTCATACACTTGTACTGTCTGATATTTACATCAGCAGCTTTCTGTAGCTTCTGCAAAAAGAGACAGGTTTGTGAGCATTTCTAAAGCAGTACTGAATGTAATTTTGAAAAACATGGATTGTGCTTCATGACTTCTTTCTGTTTAAACACACACACAGCTAAATAGTGCCTTTTTTCCTCACAATCCATGTTGAAGACGCTCGCTCCCACTCACCCTCCGTAAATTGATTCGTTTGTGCAATACTATTCCAACTTGAAACCATTTTGTCACAGCTGTTTGAGAAATAATCTCCATTTTTCCCTACTATGCTGCCAGCTTTCTGTTGTTGAAGTGTTTCAGTTGATTACCTAATGCAAATGCTATAAAATAAAACACCCAGTGGGAAGGGGAAAGAAAAGAAGTCTGGTGTCCTGTCTTAATATTTGCATGTCACATTCACATTAAATGCTCTTTTTCTAGAAGATGTTGTTACGCAGTACTGTGAACTTCATTTGCAGCTATTGTGATTTTGGAGGGGAGGGGCGAGCTGGGATGTAGCTCGTCTGTAATAATTTCATATAGCTATAACCAAATATATTTATAGGCCTTTAGAATTCGCATTGGGCTTTCTGGCCAGAAATGTAATAAATTTGCGGAGGGTATACACTGCGCTGAAAGTATCAATGAAAGGTTCTTAATATTAAACCCGAGATTTGTAAGAATAGAAAACTGGGATTAAAGCAGTGCATTGATACGTACGTGCTTCCCTGCCTGAGGGAACAGATGACCTGACCGATTACTGTGGTACTGGAAGATGCTCAGTTACCGCAGTGATGAGAACGGTATAAAAACTTGAGTAGAAGTGTCGCTGGCACTTGTAAGCAAGCACTTAAAACAAGAAGATACAGTGAGCATGGGTACGCTACTCTGTTTAGGATTTCTGACGCGTTCTGTAACCACTGCTCTGTAAACACTCCTAGCTGCGTGCACTATGGCGCTGAACAGTCATCTGACCCAGCCAAGTTTCTTAATGCGATAGTTCCTAAATACTTAGTTGTCAGCCTTGATGATTCAGAACCATCATGCAGTTACTCAGCAACTTCCACTTGAGGATTTTGATGGCTTTTAAATCCCCCTTTCGTTGCAAGCAGACTTTTCCTTACTTCCATCAGTGGAAGTGATAGGTGTAATTGTGCACGGGAAACAAAAGTCTCTCTGCTTATATCAGCCAGGGGGAAGTGGAGGGAAATATTGCCTATGTAAAGGTACGGGACTTCCTAAGGTCACTGCACCTCTTTCTGAAACGATGTAGTAAACAATGACAGCCAAAAAAAGTTGCAATACAAAAATGCTTTCTTTAAAATGACAGTAGCTTCTCCTGCGAAAGAGAGAATGACTGTAGTGTTACAGATATGTGTTAGGTACTGGTTGAACGTGTTTTTTACTGATGCTGCCATTTGCACAGGTAATTAATCTCATCCGTTGGAATTCATGGGAGGGGAGTGAAAGAAGGGAAAGGGATGCTTTCTTTAAAATGACAGTAGCTTCTCCTGCGAAAGAGAGAATGACTGTAGTGTTACAGATA